CCAACTTCCCCCCAGGATCCCACCCCCTTATCCACCCCCCCTGTTCCCCATCCCCTGACTGCCCCCCCAGAACCTCTGCCCCATCCAACTGCCCCCTCCTCCCTGACTGCCCCCCAGGACTCCCCGCTCCCTTACCCAATGCCCCCGTTCCCCACCCCCTTACCAGCAGCAGGAGCTCGCAGCCGTGACACCCGGCCAGAGCCAGCTGCGCTCCTCACGCTGCCCAGCGGGAGCGATGGGCCAGAGTGTGGCCTGTGCGGCAGCGTGGCTGCGGGGGAGGGGGGATAGCGGGAGAGGGTACGGGGATTAGGCTCCCCGGCCAGTAGCTCAGGGGCTGGGCAGGACAGACCCGCAGGCCGGATGTGGCCCGTGGGCCGTAGTTTGCCCATGTCTGTGTTATAGAAATTGCTGCTATTATCAGGGATATAGCATAGCAGTTGTTCTGGAAATTGGTTCCCAAGGGACATTTTGCTTGCACCTCCATATTCCACAGCTTTGTGTGGACATGAGGATAATGGAAGTGAAATAGCACTGCAATGTAGACACTGAGTAATGTCAATTACATACAAATCATTACTAGCATTTTAAGTATAGACAATATAATTTCCATTGTAGATGGACCTAAATGCTTGCAAATTACCGGTATATCTTTATTGTTCTGGTATGAAAATGAGGAGGCATGTGGCACCCGCCTACCATTGTTAATTTTAAACAGCTGCCTCCTACTTTGAATTTCTTTGCCTAGTTTAAAAGGATATATCACCCTTCACTACCTCGGTGTAGTCCTGAGTAGGAATTAGTGTTTCGTTCATTCAGGTGGAGAGAAGTGTGACAGTGGAATTTCCGGTTCAGTTTGACTTTTAAGGAGGGTTTTTGAAGAATTGGCTAGTAATAAATTGTTCAGTGGGACAGTAGCATCTTGGTTAGCTGTTTTTTCAATCTGTATTTTAAGTATTTGGCTATTTTAATTTGTTCCTGTTGTTTCCCAAATATAATTGTTTCCCAAAAATATTTTTTCCTTACTTGATACATTACGTTTGTATAAAACACTAGTTGTTACACGTCTTTCTTTTTACAAAAGCAGACCAGTTAAAGTTGAGTTTTGAATTCTGTAACTTAAGCATATTTAGTTTCTCGTAGGGTTGCTAACTTTACATAGCTTCTATTTAGGGCTGATCTACACTGAAAACTTAACATCGGCATAGCTATGTTTCTCAGGGGTGAAAAATCAACTCCCCTGAAAGCTGTAGCTATGCTGATTTAAGCCCTGATGTAGACAGTACTAGGTTGACCGAAGAATTCTTGCATCAGTTTAGCTACCATCTCTAGGGGAGATGGATTTAACTACAGCGATGGGAGAATCCCTCATCACTGTAGGGAGTATCTACAGTCAAGTGCTATAGTGGTGTGGCTGCAGCTGTGCCACCATAGTGTTTTACGTGTAGACATATTCTTAGAATTTTGTAGTTATGTGCAATACTGTGTTAAAAGCATCTCCTTTCTTTTTTTTCCCTTGGCCCATATTATCCAAATGAAGGATTTAACTCCATTTTTCTGAAGAGAGAATTTTTTAGAGGATGGGATTGAAAATTGTGAGGTTTGGGCTTGTTTCTGAATTTTATTTGGCCACCAGATTAATTTGTGTTGATAGTTAGCTGAACTGGTATATTGAAATACAGAATCCCACTCTAAAATCGGTCCATGTATATATGTCCATTTCTGGGTCATCTGTTGTCCCCACTTTCCTCCTGTGCTCTATACCTTGCTCACTCTTCCCTTCTCCGCATTGGTACTGGAGATTGTATGGTTATAGAACTGGGGCGGATATATTTTCAGTTTATTTGGGTTCCTGTAAGCCTCATGAGGTAGAGCTGACAACTCCACTGAACTGGTGGTCTCCTGCTGTTTTTTTTTCTCCTGTTGCTGCCACTACTTCTGTCTCTGTGACTTCAGGGATGGGGAAAAGAGTGGAGGTTCTTTGCAGAGCATATTCAACTCTGCTTCCCCCAGCAATAATTTCACGCCTGAGATGAGGTGAGAGACCCTTCACCCAATGCATATGTTAAACCCTATGTATTTTGTATAACAAGAATAATAAAACATGGTGCTGCATATAAGTGTGATCTAGAAATTTCATGTTCAAATGCATGCTGGGATTTTTACTTGGAAGCTGTTACTTTCTAAATATATAATTAATCAAATCCCCCATTTTTAATTTATACAATTAAAAGAAAGTGAATAGGGTATTTTAAGATACCCTGCATATGTGAAGTAATCATCCTGTAAGGGGAGGGATAGCTCAGTGGCCTGCTAAACCCAGGGTTGTGAGTTCAATCCTTGAGGGGGCCATTTAGGGACCTGGGGCAAAAATCTGTCTGGGGATTGGTCCTGCTTTGAGCAGGGTTGGACTAGATGACCTCCTGAGGTCCCTTCCAACCCTGATATTCTATGATTCTATAAGTGCCCAGGTGTTATAATTTGCAAGTCATTTTTTTTGTAGTGGCAGGGGAGAAATGGGGGGTGTTTATCTTTGAAGCTGGCATTACTACTTTTTTCTTTAAATATCAGGTAGCTATTTTCCATGGATCCTCAATCAAAATTAAGTATATGCTTGTTTAACCATTTTTGGGACATGGATGTTTCTGTAGCAGTTTCTATAGAGTACCAGGATATATCTGTTTGATTTGGATAAACACACTTGCTAGTTGTGCAGTTGCATCACTGAATAGTAAAGTGGCAAACCAGTGGTATTTTAGCTATCCTAATTAGACTTCCTGGAAATCACACCATTTGGAAGACTGGGAAAATTCAACTCCAAAATAATATTGTTTGGTTGAATACTCAGTCAGACCATAGTGTGGTATCCTAAATTGTGTAAGCTTTTTCTTTGAAACCAGAAGGGCCTGGCCGGGGCGCTGGGTCAGGGGCCGCACCAGCGACTCAGTCCCGCTCTGGCCGGGGCGCTGGGTTGGGGGCCAGACCACGTGGCTCGGCCCTGCTCCTGCTGGGGCGCAGGGTTGGGGGGCCGCACTAAGCCACTCGGCCCCGCTCCGGCACTCCAGCCAGGACGCAGGGTCAGGGGCTGCACCACATGGCTCCTGGAAGCCACGGCATGGCCCCGCTTCGGCTCTTACGTGCCCCAATGGGAGCTACAGGGGCAGTGTCTGCGGATGGGGCAGCGTGTAGAGCCGCCTGGCCACACCTCTGCATAGGAGCCGGAGAAGGGACATGCCACTGCTTCTGGGAGCCGCTTGAGGTAAGCGCCGCTCAGAGCCTGCACCTCCTGAGCCTCTCCCCAAGTCCCATCCCCTGCCCTAGCCCTGATCTCCCCCCCCCCCCCCCGCTCTCCAAACCCCTTAATCCCAGCCCGGAGCACCCTCCTGCACCCCAAACCTCTCATTCCCAGACCCCACACCCCCAGCTGGAACCTGCACCCCTTCCTGCACCCCTACCCTAGCCCTGATCCCCCTCCCACCCTTTGAACCCCCTCGGTCCCAGCCCAGAGCACCCTCCTACATCTCAAACTCCTCATCCCTAGCCCCACCCCAGAGCCCGCACCCCCTCCCGCACCCCAACCCCAATTTGTGAGCATTCATGGCCCTCCATATAATTTCTATTCCCCTGACAGTTAGGAAGTTTTTCCTAATGTCCACCGTAAACCACCCTTGCTGCAATTTACGCCCATTGCTTCTTGTCCTATCCTCAGAGGTTAAGAACAACAGTTTTTATCCCTCCTCCTTGTAACAACCTTTTATGTACTTAAAACCTGTTATTATGCCCCCTCTCAGTCTTCTCTTCTCCAGACTAAACAAACCCAATTTTTTCAATCTTCCCTCATAGGTCATATTTTCTAGTCCTTTAATCTTTTTTGTTGTTCTTATCTGGACTCTCTCCAATTTGTCCACATCTTTCCAGAAATGTGGCACCCAGAACTGGACACAATACTCCAGTTGAGGCCTAATCAGCGCGGAGTAGAGCTGAAGAATTACTTCTCGTGTCTTGCTTACAATGCTCCTGCTAATGCATTCCAGAATGATGTTTGCTTATTCTGCAACAGCGTTACACTGTTGACTCATATTTAGCTAATTGAACTAACCTCGTTATCTCTAGCCTGACTCACTCTTGCTTGCATATTTATACCTGCCTCTGGAAACTTCCACTACATGCATCCGAAGAAGTGGGTATTCACCCATGAAAGCTCATGCTCCAATACGTCTGTTAGTCTATAAGGTGCCACAGGACTCTTTGCTGCTTTTACAGATCCAGACTAACACGGCTACCCCTTTGATATTTAGCTTGTGATCCACTATGACCCCCAGATCCCTTTTCGCAGTACTCCTTCCTAGGCAGTCATTTCCCATTTTGTATGTGTGCAACAGATTGTTCCTTCCTAAGTGGAGTACTTCGCATTTGTCCTTACTGAATTTCATCCTATTTACTTCAAACCATTTCTCCAGTTTGTCCAAATCATTTTGAATTTTAATCCTATCCTCCAAAGCACTTGCAACCCCTCCCAGCTTGGTATCGTCCACAAACGTTATAGGTGTACACTCTATGCCACTCTAAGCCATTATCTAAATTATTGATGAAGATATTGAACAGAAACAGACCCAGAACAGATCCCTGCAGGACCCCACTCGTTATGCCCTTCCAGCACGACTGTGAACCACTGATTACTCTCTGGGAACGATTTTCCAGCCAGTTATGCACCCACCTTATAGTAGCTCCATCTAGGTTGTATTTCCCTAGTTTGTTTATGAGAAGGTCATGCGAGACAGTATCAAAAGTCTTACTAAAGTCAAGATATACCATATCTACCGCTTCCCCCCCATCCACAAGGCTTGTTACTCCTTCAAAGAAAGCTATCCAGTTGGTTTGACACGATTTGTTCTTGACAAATCCATGCTGACTGTTATTTATCACCTTATTATCTTCTAGGTGTTTGCAAATTGATTGCTTAATTATTTGCTCCATTATCTTTCCGGGTACAGATGTTAAGCTGACTGGAAGGGACCTCAGGAGATCATCTAGTCCAAAGCAGGACTCTTGTAGACATAGGTTATAGAAAATATAGTAGCACTCACAGGAAGGAAACCTTGTCTGTAAATTGCGTACATACTTGATACATCAACTTTCTAATAGTAGTATCTCAATTTTTTTAACGATTTCTTTAACTTGGGGCAATTTATTCTTTTCCACTAAAAAGCTACCAGTAGCCTAGCAGCTACTAACAGTGGAAATTTTAATTCCAACAATTTGCAATATTTGCTTACAGATCACAATCCAGTACACTTTAATAATGGACATGTCTACCACATACACATAAAATCACCTGTTTCTGAATAATTTCTCCAACATTTATACCCACCCAATCTGTCTTTTGTTTAATCTTACTGATATGAGGTACTACAAATCAGTCTTTCTGGCCCTCTTTTTTTCAAATCCGAGCCCACTCACCCAGGGTTATTTGTCTACTCAGCTCCTTTTCTCATAAAATAATATATAATATATGATCATTTTGTTGTCAAAACTGATTATTAATTAGATTTTTTTGTTTCTAATAACTTTTTGTATAGAAGTTTCTTTAGAAAGTTGAAACATATTGCCAAGGTACTGGTTCAGTTAAAGTTAGTTTTGATACACTGTTAAATTATCTAGTGCTTTGATAACATGTTTGTCACCTCCAAGCTGTGATGTATTAATGCTTTATGAAAACTCTTCTACAATAGGTGTATTTTTCTTCTCTAGGTTTGCCCAAGACCCTATGTGCCTGACATTTTCTTTGATCATCTTTTGTTCGCTAGCCTGAAAATACAGCTTTAAAAAGGATTCCAGACATATTTGATCTGCCAGAAAAAGCTGTTCCAAATGGACAATATGTCTATTACTAACACACCAACAAGTAATGATGCTTGTCTGAGCATTGTTCACAGCTTGATGTGCCATCGGCAAGGTGGAGAGAGTGAAACATTTGCAAAACGAGCAATTGAAAGCTTAGTTAAAAAGCTAAAGGAGAAAAAAGATGAATTGGATTCTTTGATTACAGCTATAACTACAAATGGAGCTCATCCTAGTAAATGTGTTACGATACAGAGAACATTGGATGGAAGGCTTCAGGTTAGTCCAAATACAGACCCAGATATTTTTTTCTACGTATGCTAGTTGAGTGGTAGCAAAAGTGGGTGTAATAGGCTTGGTGTGCACCAAAGAGGAAGATTTGCTCTATGGCATAATTTTCCCCACCGTGGAGGCGATGGAAACCCATGTGCAAACATAGTTTGTTGGGTTTGCCCCTATAACATTTACCATTTTTCTACAAATACCTCTGTTTTTTCAAATGTACATGCCACAAGTTACATAGAAAGACAGTTTCACATCCTGCTAAGGTGTTAACTTTTTAATATAGAGATAAAATTCTACAGTTTCTCCCATAATTTTTATCTACAGACTTCTGGGAGGCTATGATTTGCAATTTCATATAACTTGTGAATTCTCACCACTTTTGTTGTGTTGGCCATTTTATTTCCAATATCGCCTGTCACATTCTTATATTTTCTCCTGGGAATAATCAGATTAGTTTAAATATCCATTGGGATGTCTTTTTGGATTCTTTCTATTGGATCCAGAGTTTTGGAGGATAAGTATTTTTCTAAACATGGCAGGAGAAATTTTTAGTGAATGGTACCTGCTCAGTTCTAGCCAACCTTATTCTGTTAGTAGGAAATGAGCGAAAGTCATTTTTTTAAAAAAAAAAAAATTTTTTTTTTCAACTTTCCCAGTTGACTTTTGTGTCTTTTTAACTTTCAGGTGGCTGGTCGTAAAGGGTTCCCTCATGTGATCTATGCTCGTCTTTGGAGATGGCCTGATCTTCACAAAAATGAACTCAAGCATGTTAAATATTGTCAGTATGCTTTTGACCTAAAATGTGACAGTGTCTGTGTGAATCCTTACCATTATGAGCGAGTAGTGTCACCTGGCATTGGTAAGTAGCCTGTCGTTTAAAGTGGAACAGTGGAAGTAAAGTGTAAATATTTTTTCCTTATGTTCTAGAAAATGTAGACCTAAATAAAAATGTGAGTGCATAATGACATACTTGGTCTTTAACTATATTTGAAATTACTTTTACCTTTTATTTAGTGGAAATAGTTACTGAAGTTTAACTTTGGAATAAACTTGAGGCATAGGGATGAAATTTGCAGTTGCTGTTTCAGCCTTTCGGAACTGAATATCAAGTGGTATTTAGTTCATGTAAACTGTAGGGGAGTGATTTTAGATTGCATATTTCTGTGATATCTCAGCATAGTGTGTGAGATATTTCTGTTAGTTTGTATATATGTTTACAATGCCTCAAGTGAATTCATAAGCTTGTAAATGCATTTCATGGTTTTTAAAGATATTTTTACTTTTTAAAAGATTCCTTTTCTTTTTAAAAGATCTTTCAGGACTGACATTGCAGAGTTCTGGTAAGTAAATTGTTTATAATAAAGATTTCTAAGTAAAAAGAACTAGATTGCATTTTAAATAGCATATTCACAAATGTTCTCACATGCTGAGAGGGGGAGGGAAAGCAAGGATAGAAATGCACTTATTTCTCTAGTTAGGAGACCTTTCAAAATAGTGGTATGTGAAGGAATCTGGTGTGTGCATCAAAGTTATAGCCTAAGCTTTCAACTCACCTTTTATTGTTGCTCTAGTTTCACTCATTTGTAACTTTCCAAAGACTCTGATTTGGGATCAGAGCAAGCATGGAAAGTTACAAGCCAAAAAGTTTTTGGTTTTTGTTTGAACAGAATAAGTCTGGCAGTATAATATATTTACCACCTGAGTTAGATGATAGGAGGAAAATAGACTTTTCCTGTGTAAAATAGTATTAAAAACTAAGACTGCACAACTAATTCAAACATCTGAACTCTAACTTCAGACTTGTGGCAAGTGTGCTGGAGAATAATCCAAATTGGTAAAATGGGGGGGGGGGGTATATTGAAAACTTGGAAACATTTACTTCCAGGTATACTCAGAGAAGGAACATGACAGGGTTTTCGTTACTTCTGTAACTGTATTGTGTATGCAACTGATGCACGGAAACTAGGGTTTTTCTTTCCTCTGAAAGAACAGATGTGGTGGGATTTTTTTGTTGGTTCAGATGCCTGGAAGTCTTGGGTATAAACTTTAAAAAGAAAAAAAATCAAATCAAATTGCTAAACTTTACAAATTTCAACTTTCAATAGACTAGAGTCCAGGCCAGTTTGCTTTCTACTGCAGGAGTAGAAGCAATTGAAAATGATTTATGTGCACAGTATCAAGTTTGTACCAAAGTTTCTAGTACAGTTACTAAATACATGATATGTATTGGTTACATAAGTATATTTTTGTGCTGCTATCTCACTACGGATATGCAACTGATAGAGAACAAAAGGAAAATATTTTAATATCCTTTGACATTTCCTAAACCAAAAACAAACATGGAATTAATGCAATGTAAAAATTTTAGTTTAAAACATTCAATACAGAATGCAAAAGTTAGTATTTGTATTATTGTAACTCACCCACACTAGCCACAGAGAATATTTTGGACTAGTAGTTGTTCAATATGAAGTTAAATCGGTAGTGCCTTGCATGCACATGCACACTTCCAATGGGAGTTGCATAGAAGTAGCTCGAGAGCAAGGCTTTTTCTTATGTGCAGTGTTGGTGAATTAAGTTTATTATGAGATATTGCGTGTTTAAAGTTGTAACATCAATATTGCATTAATGTAAGTTAAAGCGCTTGACGGATAGTGCATTTCCACTTTCTCACCCCCTCCAGCCATACTCTAATGAACAGAAACCAGCATGGTGTTAGTTCCTAAATTATGCATATTCTAAATTGCTATTTCAGAGGCAGCAAATGGAGCTCACCGTTCTTTGGTGTGCTATGCAGTTACTCTTTACACTTCTCAGCTACTGGATGAATTGTTTATTTATTTGTAAACTAGAGAACATGTCACACAATGTTGTAACACGGTCTGTGTAGGTCCAAGAATGCAGCTTTAATAGTGTTGTAATTGTTTGGAAATGGAGCTGTTCCATGTATTTACTTATAAATTAGTAAAATGCACATGCATGCTTTATTTCTTCATAGCTCCATCAAGTATGTTGGTGAAAGATGAATATGTTCATGACTTCGAGGGACAGTCATTATCTACAGCTGAAGGCCATTCGGTCCAGACCATCCAGCATCCACCAAGTAACAGGGCTTCTACTGAGACTTACAGCACCCCAGCTATGTTAGCTCCTACTGAGTCTAGCACTACCAGCACCACTAACTTTCCCAACATTCCGGTGGCTTCCACAAGTAAGGAACTTAAATTATCTGGAATATAAAATCCGAATACTTGAATGGCACAACCATTTGATCTTCTCTAAAGTGGACATTGCATAGGAAACTTGCTTTTACTTTATCAAAGTAAATAACATAAAGTGAAGTACTAGTGTATTCCAAATCCAGGTGGCCTGTTGATCTCAGATGTTAAAATGAGATTTTACTTGGAGCCTAGAATTTGAATCAGTTTTTTCTATTAACCCCTCTTCCCCTCAACTGTTACGCTTACTGAGTTTTCTAAACTATAAAAAACTGATACACACTTCTTGAGAAACCCTTACAAACACTGTTCATTGTTGTGGTGTTTAAGTTATTGACCCCAGTATTGAACAACTGGCGTGGGAATGGAAAATTTCAGTATCCCATTAAATCAGCAGGAGGGATGATAAAACTGGATATATGAAGAAGTATTATCAACCCGTGTACAGAACAGTAGTTCTTAGACTTTCTGAAGCTGAGAGAACACCACCTCTTGTAACTTTTTTGAAAAAAATAATTGGACCACTTGAAAAATAAGCCTGTAAAAATTGCAGACTCTCTTAAAATCCTCATTAACACGTTGGGATGCCATATCTAATTTTTCTTAAACATTTTTTGTGTATTTAGCCGTGTGGAAGTGCTCAATTCAATCAGTTATCCCATAGCCCTAGAAAATGAAATCCTCTGTGTTCAGATCAGGGAGTAGCAGTATGCAAAGATCCTCATGCTACCTCGGCAACATCCCTCATTCCTTGCCTGGAGAAACCATTTGTATTTTGGGTTTTGTATCGCTCCCATCACCATAGTATCATATTGCTCTAAGGGTGTGAAGATAATTTAGTCTCCATTTTCTTTCAATCTTTGATGCCTCTAGTAAGTCCGTGGAAATCTTATTGAAAATAAGTGTTTCTGGGTCTGAATGAAGCATGTTGCTTTTTCTGTATCTTTCAAGTGAAGCCTTTAGCTTCTCTCTTTTCCCTATATCGAAAATATCCAAAACAAAACATGAGTAAAACAAAGATATGTTTTTGTGTCAGCAAATAAAAATGTGCAGAGCAATCCCAGTCATAAGATATTAAACAAAGTATTTTGTCAGAATAGAAGCAAAATTAGCTGATGCTAAAAGTATCTTACTTGCAGCTTTCTAAGGTTCTTTCCTGCAAGAAATATATCCTTAAATTATAGCAGCTTTATTATCATAGCCTTGATAACTGGGATGTGTTTTCCTCAGTAGGATTGTGCAGTTTCCTTCTTATAATAAAATTGTGGAATATTTATGAATGGGAAATATGTTCTTTTACCAGGTCAGCCAACCAGTATATTGACAGGTAGCCATAGTGATGGACTCTTACAGATTGCTTCAGGGCCTCAGCCAGGAACGCAGCAGAATGGGTTTACAGCTCAGCCAGCTACTTACCATCACAGTGAGTATACAGATCAATGCATTCTTTTTAGTTTTTTTTTTAAATCCATTAATAAATATTCAGGAGAAATTAAAAAAAAAAATAGAAATGAGATGGGTAAGCTCCCTTAAATGCGAAGTAGCCCAGTCCTTTTTTTTGATTTTTAGATAGTACAACAACTTGGACTGGAAGTCGAACGGCAGCCTACACACCTACTATACCTCACCACCAGAATGGACATCTTCAACATCACCCACCTATGCCCCATCCTGGACATTACTGTAAGCATTTGTGGATTTTCAAATAGCTATACTTTTTATGCTGTCATTGTAGGATAATGGCAGAATCTCTCTTGTGACCTTCCCCCCACAAGTGTAAATTCTGTTAATTATAAAACTATACTTACTGTGTATTGTATTCTGACAATTAAATACAAAAGCTCCATGAGAGTTGGTGCACTGTACTTGGCGCTGCATCAAAACAGACGAGCAGATTAAAATTTTAGTTGTGTTATAATGGCACCATCCAGTTTTGCAGTTAAAAACCTGTCTGTATTTCCCTCTTCAGCCTCTGTTTATAGAACTTTATAACTTGGCTGTAAATACTTCATTTGACCTTAAGAGTGTTTGTCCAAAAGTAGATTTTGAAATAATATTTGGCCTTTTTTGGTTCAAGTTCCTGTTTCAGATCCTTTAGAAACATATTTAGAGTAAAGTCTCATTTTCTTAATAACTTACAGTACTTAGGCATTTCTTTTAAAGTGTAATTTATGTGCATTAAAATTTACAAATATTGTAAAAGTTAAAAATAATTGCTGACTAGTCCCACTACAACCCAATTCATGGGAATATTTGGCACATACATTTGCACTTACTACAAAACAAACCTGAAAATGGATATTTTTAAAGATTCCTCGTTAGCTCTTGGTCTCAAGGCAAAATAGATTGATTTTTGTTTTTCCATGTTGTAATCTAGTAGGTTTGAATGAGATCAGTGGAACCTAAAAGTATAGCAGATTAGATAAACTATCTAAGAGCAAGGAGTGTGGTAAGAAAAGAACAAAAATTAAAATTAATTTTGCCTGTCCTTTTTTATTATGGAATTCAGTAATCTCTAAACATTGGAATCATTTTGGATTTCTTATTATTGTATTTATAAATTATTCTATTTGCAGTGGTTATGCTCTGCACTTTTATTCCTGAGGGGGAGATAAAATCAATTATTGCAATAAATTACTTTGGCAGTTTTCCTGTATCAACAAAACGTATTTTAGACTGTTATTAAGTTTTATATTACTCCCTTCTACCTGGTTCCCACTCATACTCCATCTTATTTATCTGAAGTACTGGAATTCAAAAATATTTCTGGTGCTCAAGTTACTCATAAATGTTTTCAATATTTACTTGGCTTTCTAATTTAATACTTTGACTTTTCTAAAAATGGATGGTGGTACTCCTGGGCTCTCTCCTTGGCCTCCTGCTCCTCTCACTTTGGGAAACCTCATCCATAGACATCTACTAACTTTGTCATCTTCTCCCAGAAGCCACTGTGCCTTTGTCCATGATGCATATCCCGAACTCATCTGTAAGATGGCACATTTAATCCCTTCTAAAAATGTACTTCTGCTGTGCTGCCTTTGAGGAGCATAGCTAATTTATAATAAAAATTAAAACAAATTAAGTTAACTATGCTTTGCCAAGACTAAGCTCTCTGCTGACCTCTGTTTTTAGAATGAACTTGTCAGGGCTAGGACCATACCTTCTTCTCTGTTTGGAAAGTGCCTAGCACATTGTGGACTCTACCAAAACAAAATACTCAGAAATCTGTATTTTCATGTAAAATAAACTTCATGCTTTTTTTTTTTTTTTTTTTTAAAAGGGCCAGTTCACAATGAACTTGCATTCCAGCCTCCTATATCAAATCATCCTGGTAAGTGCATGCTTCTGAAGAGTTGTTCAAAGTATAATGGAAAATTAAATTTATTCCATGTGGGCCTGATCCAAAGCCGTGTATCACCTACTTCAAAAGCTGTGCCAAGCATATGTTAGGAAGAAATAATACATTTTGAGATATAAAAATCATTTTTTTCTCTTTTAATTTTTCTAAGTTTAAGCAATTGGTGGAATCTAAGCAGGTACAGTTTTGGTGTGAAACCTAGAAAACTAGCCAACTTGCAGATGCAAGGTTGTATGCTAACGTTACAATAATACAGTTTGTTCCATCACACAGGTTACATCATTTGTATGATTTAAACAGTAATTTATTTTTTCATTCATTGGCCATTACCACTGAAAGGAAAACTGGCAATGATTGAAAGCTGAATTTAACTGGTGATAAGACAGCAATGTTAATTATAAAAATATGATTTTTTATATAATCTACACTCTTCATAATTAAGTATTGTTTCATAAACATAAGTCTGAAATACTTTTTCCTTAAGGGTTTTTGTAAAAACTGGAAACCTTTGTGTCTGTCCTATTATGGTAAAAACAGTATTTCTCCTAGTATTTGCAGTGATTCTGTCTTAGTACAGGTTGATTTTTAGGAAATTATCTATCTGTATATAAAAAGTATAATTAATATGCAAATTCATTGATATTGATGTGCAGTTAGAATAATTAAGTGCAATTGCAAGCTTAAGTTACCATGACCTCATTCCTGCCCAGGTGTTCTGTTCCATCTCTAATGTGCAAAACCTTTACTAGTAAATGCTACATAAAAATTTGAAAGCGGAGGCAATTTTGTGCTCATTTAAGCTCACTACTGACTTCTTACAGATATATAAAAAATACATGCACACATTGTTGAAAATTAAATTCCAAGTACAAATGGCAAAAGTTCTAAACCCTTGTCTCTCAGGGTTTTGCAGGATTTTTACTGGCACATTTCAGTCAGTTCTTTGTTTTCTTCTCTAGCTCCGGAGTACTGGTGTTCAATTGCTTACTTTGAAATGGATGTGCAGGTTGGGGAGACATTTAAAGTCCCTTCAAGTTGTCCAGTTGTTACTGTTGATGGATATGTAGACCCTTCTGGAGGAGACCGCTTTTGCCTGGGCCAGCTTTCTAATGTACACAGAACAGAAGCCATTGAAAGAGCAAGGTATTTTGCATGTCTTCTGGAACACCAGACTTTGGTTGTATTTTATATTTATTGTTCAAGCTTTTGGTATATACCTTTCTTTTGAAGGTATAAGTGCCGTTATGTACATTCTGATTGATTAAGCTACTACAGCATGTATCTTCGTGGGCCTTTGGGTTCACACTTCAGGTATGTTCATGCATCTGAGCAGTGCATCAATGGCCTAGGAGTGTGCCCCTTGATGTGGCATATTGCATTTATTGGTTTATATAATTGTGTTTGAAAGTTGTCATAATTTTAAGAACAGTTTGTGTCCTTGTGCTTGGGGAGAGAAAATTTAATTTATTGAGGGTAAGGGCAAAGATTAGACTAAGTGAAGCACACAGGTTCTTTAGAGCATCATCGGCAAATTGAAAAAAGATATCTTTTTTCATTCTCACCTCACACTTAAGTTTTGGTGAAGGAGCAGAAAAAGGACTTCAGGAACTCTTTTGATAGTGATTAAACTCCTTTCCCCACGAAACAAACAGGAATACAACAGGACTAAAATAATTCCAAGTGGTAATAGTTAATTATCTTAAAATATGGTGCATGTTTGTGACATCACCAAGAGGTCATGTTGCCGTTTTGGAGCATTGCTTTAAAAGATGTGTAGAATGCTATTCTCTAATGCAGGACTGTACACTTGGATGACTTTAGAAGAGCTCTGTGTGGTCTCTTTCACCAACAGAAGGTGGGCCAGGAAAAGATTCTACCTCACTCATTTTGTTTCTCTCATGTTTTAATACAGCACGGCTACAGCAATGCTGCAAACAGTTTAGGACACTTGTCAGTGTGGATTCTTATTCTGCTGAAATAATAGGCCCAAGTGTTGTGTTTGATCAGATACAGTTTTGGAATGCAGGATCTATGTCTCAAATTACTTTAAATGTTCCTTGACCTACATTGCCTATCCATGCTGCTACTCCCATAAAGTTAATGTTACATGTACAATGCAGTGTGCTCATTATACAGTGATATACCTTCATGTTTTGTTGCATAGCTTGCAGTAGACTGCTGCTGCTAAGACTTCAACAATCCCAATTCTTTGAAAAATAGTAAATTATTCACATTCTAGGTAAACTATTTTACAACCTAGAATTTAGACTATGGTGTAGTGGACTGCTGAGAACTCTTAAGATTTGTGTATGGTTCATTTAACAAGGTTCTAATGTGTAGCTTGTCAACATAAGTACATTGGACCTTTTTCCCTTTTTAAGGTTGCACATAGGTAAAGGGGTGCAGTTGGAATGTAAAGGTGAAGGCGACGTGTGGGTTAGGTGCCTCAGTGACCATGCAGTCTTCGTCCAGAGTTACTACTTGGATAGAGAAGCAGGGCGTGCACCAGGAGATGCAGTTCACAAGATTTACCCAAGTGCATATATAAAGGTTGGTTTGAATATCCTGGATGACAATTGTAGGAAATAACAAATGAATTTGTTCCTTGTAACTGGCAAAGAAATTGTTTTATGAAGTGTTGAAAGAAATGTAAACCAAATAACCTAAATTATTTTTTCCCACTAAAACAAAAACTGTTTTAGCCTCTATTAGGCTAACTGGTGCCCAATGAAGTTTTGTTTATTTTATTGTTGATGAATGGCTTTTTAAATTGGCAGTGTTTATTTAGATGTTATGGAAGCAACCAGCCGTTTCATAATTCTGTCACAAGCAATCTTAGCAGTGGTATTGCATTTTAACCGTTTTTGTTTAAACGAGTTAGTACAAAAAGTTGGTTACTCAAGCTTATAATATGGTCCAATTGTTTTTCTCATTTTGGGAAAAAAAATATTTTGAAATGTAAATATTAAAATCTTGAAAAAATAGCTAATTTTTTAATAAAAGCATCGGCATGGAAATATTGAACCAATGAACCCACCAAAAGTCAAACTTTTTATACAAAATCATACATTTTTTTCTGACATTTCAGATTTAACCTACATTAAAATGATCATTTGCTTTACGTACATCTCAGGGTAAAATGAGTTTTAAAACCAAACTCCTTTGCTGAGCAGCATACCCAGGGCACTGGATTTCTTTCGCTCACTGTAAAAACCCTCAGTCTCTGAGAGCAGAATTCTTGTGTATTTCAGTACCCTGTCTGATCATAAAAAAGCAGTGTGCCCACAAACTGAAACCTAGCTGTTCTAATTTGAGGCCTACCAGCTGTCAGTATTCTGCGTAAGTAAATTGCCATATTTTAACAAGGCTGTGACAAAAGCAGACAGGGACTCTCAAAGTTTAGGAGGACACATCTCTAATTTTTCATTTATATGCCTCGCTTTTTGAAATTAACTATTAAGCTATGACCTTCTCCTGGATTTTGTCAGCTTGTGACAATCTTAGGCCCTGATCCTGCCATTTGATTCACACAAGTAGCCTATTTAGCGCACATAAATTCAATCAAGGCCTTAATGTGTTTGGCCTTTTTGTATAGCTACTAGTGCTCAAATCTTAGAAGAGTCTGTAAAAACAATGGATAGAATTTTTGACCCCTATGTGTTCTAGAAATAAAAGATCAGTTGGTAAAAGCTTACCTGTGTCTAGGGAGACTAACTCTGTGGCGTTACGATTTTTAATTTCTCTTATACGTAACAGCAATGATAGCATTGGCTCTTATGAACTCTTTCCCTCAGTGGTTAAGATAAATCTATGTAATGCAGGACTTATTTTTTTTTTTTAAGGTGTTTGATTTACGCCAATGTCATCGTCAGATGCAGCAGCAGGCTGCCACTGCACAAGCTGCAGCTGCTGCCCAGGCTGCAGCAGTAGCTGGAAACATCCCTGGACCAGGATCAGTAGGTGGAATAGCCCCAGCTATCAGTAAGTACCTTAAGTAATTTCTTTGCTCTTTTTAAGGAAAAACACCCTACAGTGAATGGGGACCATATTATATCTATGCTTATTCACACTTCAGACTTACTCTTCTTTGTCAAGTAAATAAAGCACCTATTTCTGTAGCTTCTCTGCACACGAAGCTCCCATTGTGAAGTCTGGGAATTCCGGGTGTGAACGTGGCTGCAGAATTTGTCTCTGTAAAAGGAGTGTGACAAAGTATGCTGCTTCTGAAGCACAAAGGTCAAACAGTATAACTACTTTCCTCGAAACGAAGTTGTATCTCCACCTCCTAAAAGAGAGCTTGAAAAATTTCCCAGAGAGAACTAAATGTACTTGTCAGCTGCAAAAAAATGGGGAAGGGCTGTGAGACTGGGGCCCATCACTGAGGTCTAGGGGAAACCGCCATTTAAGAAGCTTGTTCTGGAGGAAGGTGCTGGGATCTGTCACTGAGCTTGCCCTGAATTTTGTTAAGAGGAAAGATTTTTATTTTAAAATAGGTGCCCAAGTTTAGGCTCCTAAGTCCATATTTAGGCACCTAAATAAGTAGCCAGACTTTTGAAAATGCTGGACGCTTACTTAAGCACATCAGTCTTCTCTAGCTTCTGTCTTGCTGTTGGCAAGTAGATATTTCAAGCCATTTCACAGAACATTGAAAATGTTGTGGCCAAAATAATTTAACTTGTTAATATTAACGGAAAGCACCAGTCCTATTTAATGATCACTTGCCATATTCATCATTTCTTCTGTTTCATTAAACATGAACAAAACAATATAAAAATAAACAGAATAATTTGGGTAAGGTGTTTTTTGTTTTTTTTTTTGTTTTTTTTAAATATGGAGTACATTTTTTGTCTGCTTTAAAACAGAAAAAATCTTCCTTGAGAAGGCAACCTGTAGTCTGTACCAACTTTACACTGTTGGGAAATGTTTATTGCGACGCTAAATTCACTGAAATAGGGGTTTAAAATGGAAATACAAACCGTTCTCATTAATAGCACATTTCAAATGACAATTATGGCTTTAGGCCCCTCTCAAATATTTTAAAGAAATCATGTTAGCAGCAAATAAACTGCAGTAGATGTTGGAGGTTTCCCAACATCATTTGTACAGTCCTATTAGGTTACCACGTTGAAGTGGAAAACTGAGATTGGCTCCATACATATGCTTGTACATAGAAGGTTCATCTGGATAAATTACATACACAAAATTGGAAGTCATTTTTGTTTAATTTGGATTCGTGTTTTGGGCCATTTTGAATCAAGATGGCACAGCTATATGTTGGATTGTCAGTACTTTCTCATAAGGCTGACCAGTCTACTGTTCACTTAATTCCAGACATAAGTATTTCTAGCTGTACTTAACTTTCTGAAATAGGCTTTTAAGACTGGCTTGCATCACGTAACTGTTTTCAGGCTAATTGGCTGTATCTGATCGCTTATACAGGTTTACAAGGATACATAGTCACATAAATCAAAAAGTCGAGTTGGAAAACCTATGTATCTGTAGCGCAAATCTATAAATGTTGATTGGCATGGTTTGTGGAGAGGGAGAACTGTACATGGAGGAACAGCTGAGCAAACGGGTTACTATGTAGAATTGGCTAGGTGTTGTGTAAAACTGGCATGTCTGAGGCAACTAAATACACTCAAAACCTCTTATTTAGGTTTGTCAGCTGCTGCTGGAATCGGCGTAGATGATCTTCGCCGCTTATGCATACTCAGGATGAGTTTTGTGAAAGGTTGGGGACCTGATTACCCAAGACAGAGCATCAAAGAAACACCCTGTTGGATTGAAATTCATTTACACCGGGCCCTCCAGCTTCTAGATGAAGTACTTCATACCATGCCTATTGCAGACCCCCAACCTCTGGACTGAGATCCCTCTGCGCACTGCTGTGGGCCATTATATTGTCGGGATGGTGGATTGTAAAATACAATTCTGTTTATAACCTGAAGAGATATTTTACTTTTGTTCTGCTTAATCTTTTAAAACCAGGTTTTAAAAATGTGTTTGCCTTCTTGCTCTTAGCAGAAAGAAACTGAACATGCAGAAATTGGATTTCAGGTTACTTTTTCAGAACTTTACGGTCACAACAGGTGGCTCCGGGCTTAAAGTAAAGCTCATATGGATACTTTCAAAGGGATTGAACACAGTACTGGTAACTCTATTATGGCAACTTGCTGATAAGCCTCATGAGACCCTTTTGTATGCAGAATACGTATATATTATATATATTTATATCTGAAAATTCTTTCTAATCACCATAAACATTTACCTTAAAACAACTTTTAAAGTTACTGAAATCTTGCATTTAATTCTTTTAGGGAACAAATTGTTAGCAACAGAGATTGCTTTATCTCGATGAATATCTTGCTGTGATTTTCCAGATTGAAGGGTACAAACCGCCAAAAATGAGGAATATGTTGTTGTTGGTAATAATTAAAAATAGCCTGGAAAAAGAAATGTTTCTTTTCCTTTACTATATTTTAAAAGGATATCTTAAATTTTTATTTATATAGGCACACAATTTTTAAAACACTAACAGGAGTGGATACTTTCAGTGCTGGCACTCAGTTTAAATATAACATGAAATAGCCAATCTGTAAAATTGCCAATTAAATGACATAATGAATATCCTAATGGCAGGAACATATTTTCATAACTACTGCTGACTTCTGTGATCTAAATACCAAGGAAAAAAAGTCAGACTTGGCATTTGTCTAACATGGGTAGCTTGATTGTTTATACTTAATTTGAAAAGTGATAACTTGCATATACCATTAAATCACGTATATTATGACATCAGTATTTAGGATCCAGTTTTTGTATCTGTTCACCATTTCCACTCAGGGCAAGATGACAAACTTGTTTTTATACCTCTTGGTTATTTTAAGCCTGATGCCATCAATGACCTCATCAATTGGCAATGACTTTGTATAGAGAATTTAAAGTAGAAAAACTTGCAAATGTATTGACTGTACGACAGTTACAATATGTATGCTTTCTCTCTAGTGAATAGTATAAATAAAATTCTGAAAACCCCAATTTATACAATTGTATTTTGTTTGCTTATATTAAATATTTTTTCTTCTCTTTGAGTCCACTAATCTAGAGTGATTGGTCACTTTCCCTTGAAAGATCATCATCATCAGCCAATAGCATTACGATTTATGTAACTTCCACCCTAAATTTTGATTTTTTTTTCATCAGGGCTCTTCTAGTTTTTCTTTCTTTTCTGTACTTGTTGAGATGTAGCAAGAGGAGTTGCTTCTTAGCGACTGGGTATGGCATTTGTGCGGGGAATTGGAACTTGAAGAAATGGCCCAGAACTACTGAGTGCAAATCCAGTGCTGCATTCAAACACTGTTAATTCAGTCTGCCTGCATTGTTGTGTTGAGCCAATCTGATAGAACAGTTTCAGCAGGTAACACAATAAGAAACAGTCTTGAAACAGATTATTCAAGGGTTTTTTGGTTTGTTTTTTGCCAAATTCCTTGCATCAAATCAAGAATCTGCAGAGGACTGTAATAGCATTTAGATAGAGCTCTTTTCATCCATAGATCTCACACTGCTTTAGAAAAGAGGTCAGCGGTTGTCATTCCCATTTTATAGATGAGCACACAAGTCAAATGACTTGCCCAAATTAGTGACAGCTGGGGTGTTTTTCTTAGGTGGTTGGATGCTTCTAACCACTTAGTCAAAGATCCTGACTCATCCAAAAAACAAACAAACCAAAACTTTCTCCCAGAGACCATTTTTTTTTTCTGTGGGTGGAACTAGTGAAGCCTGACCACAGGCTCTTCTTACCCATCTGGCTGTTGAATTATCTGCTGTGCTCTTAATCCTGGATTCTTGGTTCCTAACCACTTGGGAAATGTACAAACTTTTGACAAGTTAATTGTTGGGGGCAGTTTGCATGAACTGGATTCCGTGTGGCTTCCCTATGAAGAATTATGCATCTCGTAAAGGCACTCCTCATTTCAGTTTATAATTGTTGATCTTTGCACAGATACATTGAAGAAATACTCCAGAACTTTACATATACTCGAGTCCCCAAGCTTTTTGCCAGCTTGATGGTGTACTGCAAGATTCCCTCTACCTGATTTAAAATAAACCAAATCAAATACTTTATTGTGGCCTGAAAGGAATCAACAGATTAGGCTGTATATTCAGAGGCATCACAAACAGGAGCAATGATCTCTTCCTTCAATTCTTGTAAACAGCATCTGGAATACTGTGTTCCGATTCAGGCAAACCGGAGAGTATTCAGATTAGAGCAACAAACTCAGATGACTAAGGGATTAACCAAAAGTACAAATTCCAGATTTATAATCAGGAAAAATTTCCTGCCAGGTGTGTGAGAGAGTGAAACTGTGGGTGGATGCCTCATCCTGGAGACACTTAAAACAAATAACAATCTTGAGCTGGCATGGGGATGGACTAGAGCAGCAGTTCCCAAACTCTTTTGGCTCCAACTCCCTTTCAGAGATTCATGTCCCATGTGTACTCTCCTCTTTCTAAAAGACAGTATTTCTGTTGATGCCTGGAGTTTAGAAGCCCATTCCAGCTGGGGCACCCTGCAACTCCTAGGCCAGTGAGCATCTTCTGCCCAGGATATGTGCCGGGGGGGGGGCAGTCTCAACAGGACACACAGCTGGGCTGAACCCCTCTCCTACCTCTATCCCTGCAATCTCCTAGAATCACTCTCAGGCTGCAGGCTCTTCTGGTCGTGGCACGATTCCCAGCATGCATGTGGAAGAGCCTCAATGGGCAGGTGGAACTACCTCCCAAAGGGGTGCATGGACATCGGCCTCTGGAGAGATGCGCAGGCTGAAATATGCCTCCACCTCCTGTGCAGGGAGAGGCCATGCCCCATTACTTCTCATCCCTCCCTCCTCGTTCTTCCGGCCTCAGAGCAGGAGCTGCAGATAGTGAGAGGACAGTCAGGTCCTCACATCCCCTGATAACTAGGGCCCTACTAAATTCACGGCCATGAAAAAACACATCACGGACCGTGAAATCTGGTCTCCCCTTGTGAAATCTGGTCTTTTGTGTGCTTTTACCCTATACTATACAGATTTCACGGGGGGAGACCAATGTTTCTCAATTTGGGGATCCTGACCCTAAAGGGAGTTGCGGCGGGGGGGGGGGGGGGGGGGCTGGAGAGCAGCAGTTGTTGGCTCTTATCCTGGATTCTTTTCAGAAAAGCACTGATACTAGAAGGCTTGGCACTCAATTGCCTTTAAAGTAGAATGGTTGGGATTATTTCCACCATATTTGGACTGCTTCTCCATGAAGCTTAAAATTGAAGTTTAGTTTACTTCGCCCTCGTTCCCACTGGCATTAAAATGGTGGCATTTAGATGCCAAAGTTAGAGGATTTGGAGATAAACTGCCAATGAAATGATTTTTAAATGGTTCAAAAAACTGTTTAACAATTTTCTTTGCCAGTGTAAACTGGGGACACGATCCCCTTTGAACTCCTATTTAGGCTTTGTCTGCGCTGTGAACAAGGGGAGTGATTCCTTTGCTTGTGTACACATACGTTAGCTCCTATTGAGGGAGTGTGAGTATAAATAGCAGTGTAGCCATTAGATAGCATAAGTAGTGGCAGTGCAGGCCCAGCTGAGCCGTGTTGAGTACATACCCACCAGTTTCAGGCATGTTTATTCAGCGTGACCAAACCATGCTTCTGCTGCCACGCTACACAGGTATTTAGTCGCACTAGCTTGATGAGAGCTAGCACAAGTGTGTGAGCATGAGCAGGAGAGTCACACCTCTCGCTCATAGTGTAGACATACCCTGCGAAATCATTTACTAGGCTTAGGCTTCAAATGATTCTTCTAGACTTGATTGGAAAAAGTTTCTAAGAATGATCTATCCATTTAGCTCCTTGCATGGCCCCCATCACAGCACTACCTCGTGGCTTTATCCTCTGAACACCCCTCTAAGGTTGGGAAGTACTATTTCCCTTTTTACAGATAGGGATATGAGGTACTGAGAGATGAAATGTCTGAGGTCACAAGGAAGTCTGTAGCAGAGGCAGGTATTGAACCTATGTCTGAGTTGTGCACTCACCTTAACTGCAAGACTGTACTTCCTTAACAATTTATAAGATGTCTATGCTTTGTCCAAACTGGCTAGGCAAATATTATTTAAATTGTATTACCAGGACATTTTGTAAAACTTTCAGTGCCAGTATGAATGGGGTCTTTGCCTCTTCTTTGAACCCTTCAATTCTTATGTACTTCCTGGTGGTGTTTTTTTTTGTTTGTTTTTGTTTTTTGGAAAATGCTTTGTTTCTCCTGGCAAATTAGATGGCATGCCCTTTGGCATGGACTGGTCTCTTACTTGGCATTTCTACAGTATCCCATACAGTGAGGTCCATTTTCTGAGTGGGACTTCTAGGCACTACTGTAATACAATTAATTAAAAAAACACCCAAGATAGTTCTTTCTTTAGATGGCATCCAGACTTTACTGGAGTCAAGAAATTTCCACTCCTTCTCCTGTGCTACTTAATTCCTATTCCTTCACACTGTGAGAGGGAGCACCTTGGGCGTAAAGTACTCTCAACATCCAAAGGAATTCTATTCATTTGGGTATGTTTTATTTTATAAACAAGACTTTGAAGAAAAACAGTCGCTAAGAAGAGTTGTTTTGTTTGACCATGCTTGTTTCTGTGGTGTATGTATCTGGTGGTTTCTGTGTCTGGTGACAGTTAAGGTCTCTTCTAGGAGATTGCCACTCTTCTAGGGGCAGAGACTTACAAGGTGGCCATCTGATCACTTTTGCATTCTTCTAAGGCACCATCTGCAGGATTCCTCTACCTCTGATGCAGCTAGTCAGCACGTTGTCACTGAACATGGTACCTTCCTTGACATTCTCCATGAGACACCTCTACCCAGATGCTCCAAGATCTAGACTTGTGGACAGTGAGGTTGTAGAAAGAATACTTTGCCCTTTCATAGGGTGTTACCTATTCAAAGCACTTTGCAAACACTATCAAAGAGTTAATCTACCCCACATTTCTGAAGATCCGATCTGGGATATCCCATTTTATTCTGTCAATATTTTTACTGTGTATGTTCCTGCTGAGTTTCACAGGGATTTTGACTCTGCTTTTGAGTTGTCTGAAAACTTAATTTGCGGAGCCCTGCTAACAGTAGGAATATAGTCTGGAAAATGCTGAGAGATTGGATACTGTTGGCTGCTAGTTACCTTATGCACATGTGAGAGTGCTTCATCACTCTGGAATTACAGGACTCAACATTTTGAAGGTTGATGAATTCATCTAGTACTTTCTGGCTCCAGTACCTTTATCCCTCGTGTTTGATGAGTTTGGTAGCTCTACTAAGCCAAGACACAACTGGATTGATTACTGTAAAGCATACAGAGCCCAAAATGCACCATGGAAGTTTTCTTTTGAGCACGAAAGCCTAGTGAACAGTAATACGTGTAGCCATTGCCTTTTTGATAAACGGTCAACAGAATTCCGAGTAGTTCCTTTGTAGCTTATTGTACGTTTTTCGCTAGACAGTTTGTGGATAATATACTGTAGTTAATTTTCCTGAAAATTCTGTAACCGAGTATGTTTTTGATTAAAAAAAAAAAAAAAAAAAGGTAAAGATTCAAATCTTTGGCTTCTTCGTTATTTTGTTCAGTGGACAGCTTCTATGCATTTTTTTTTAATTGGCTGTCAATACTGAAAATTGAAGCAGTGAGGGAGCACCATTTAGCTAAGGTAGCCATTTTAGGCTGCATCACATTAAAGAATCCTGGCTTGGAGTGCATGTAGTTTAGCAATATATTTCTGCGAACTATTATTTCATACTATTTGCATTCTAGTATGGTTCACAGTGTGGTAGGCACTGCCTGTACATGAGGACAACTAGGGCCTGTATAAGCACAGAAGTTGGACCAGTTTAACTTAAATTAGTTTAAACTGCTGGGTCTCTTGTGTGTGTGGACACACTTATATTGGATTAGAACTTGTTTTATTGGTTTAGATTATGCCTATAAAGTTTCTGACACAAGCTGAATATAT